TTCTTTGATATTGAAGCTCCCGATTGGATGACGGTATCTCCTTCTTGCTGCTGACTTTGAGGAGACACTCCATTAAGTCGAGCAATAGAAACATGAGCTTATAGGCCTCAACACTTACAACTGATTATTTAAAGGACTTAAATTTTTTCTAACTAATTAACGAAGATGTTTTAAAAATATTTTATTCTTGTACATAGAGTGATTTCGTGACTTAGGACAGTTCTATTTTTTGTGTAACTTTGTTTATCTATTTATTATCCGCGCAAGTTTACATGAGCCCTCTCTTTGCTAGTTGCGAGAGGAGTGGGGAGTTGGGTTATTTTGACGAAAGGAATTTTGCATCTAATTTGTTCCTTTTTCGATGCAAAATAGTTTCTATTACACGGGAGCGAACATACTTGTTACGTCGGACGTATACTCTGTGGGTAAACAAACGGTTGATTTGCACTGAAGTTGTCGGGGCATATGTAGCCAAGTTCTAACGGATCTAGTACGTTTTACACATGTCCTGAATGACTTCGCTGCTTGTAACGGATCACTGTTGCTACCTGCCGGCAATCAGTCTTTTTAAATTTAAAATTTTAATTTCCTTTGAATCCGAAATGTTTTAATCGAAATACAATCTTCATACACTGAGTAGTGTCTGCTATTCAACGTCTGGTTGAGAGGTTCCAGGTTTGTGACATTGTTATGAAGGGATGATAATTTGTACTGTTAGGAAAATTTAAATAATTAATTTAATGATTATCGAATTATTATTTTTTCTGATTTGTATAAATATAGTTGAACATTATATAAGGACAAATTTGGTAAAGAACACCAATGAGAAATAAATAAGGATAATCATAAATTTACCAATGATACTCCTAAACTTGTTACAGTACTATAAAGTGCATCGTTAGTCAATACATTAGTATGAATTCATTGAAGTCGTGACATCGCGTGTCAACGTAATGCTCGTATGACACAGGCCAGAATTGCTCAATAAAAAGAGAATAGTGAGAGTTCTGTAATGAAAATTCACCTTCATCTTTTATTGAGATTAATTTTGGGTTTGTATATGTAACATGTGCATTTATGGGCGCAATCATTTGGTTTGTAACAAAAGCAAGGTCTAGCAACGATTTAATTTATCTCGCGCTGATCGTATGAAAAGGGTGTGGTGAATCACTCACTGACAAAGATGCTGACATGGTTTATGGTCAAATGTCATCACCGTCACCATTACGTGCAAAAACCATAGAATTGTTCAACAACTCGGTTTACAATATCCAATGGATATTATTTCTATTTAAATAATTTGTAAATTCTATAGTTCAACTAATCACAGCGTTTCCTTATAGGTAAACCGTTCAGAAGTTAAAAAAATCTATTTAGGAATCACACTTTTGAGTGGACCCTGCCAGTTAGTGAACATTAAAATTTGTCGATAAAAGAGAATTCGAATTATATTAACCGCAATATATAGTTTAAAGTTAGTAAATTTGTTTTCATAAAAGTCGCTCGTCAACAGAAAACAGTTTCTATGCATCTAATATAGCTTCGCGCGATGCGAAGTGGGAGCTGGTAGACAAATGTCGAGAACCAACTGGCAGGGAGTAGGCAGAGAGGAGGGATGACTGAAGCCGGAGCCACCTGCGGGGGAGGGGGCGGCGGTGCGGTAGGAAAGCAAATACAACGCCACTGGGCCGGAAGGAACGCGACGAGCAGTGGAGGGAACCCCGTCTCTAGCCGGGCGCAGGTTTTTGTGACGTTCTCGTGTCAGGGTGGATATTTTTTGGAAAAATAATATCTGGATCTATTATTTATAGTATCTGCAGTTCTAGGGCAATCAGTAGAATTTCCACTCAGTTCATTCATATGTTAATTATTCAAATAGCATTTTTCACTTTACTAATAACTTTAATAATTATTAATAAAATATAATAAAACTGATGATACTATCAATAACAGAATCTGTTATCAAATCAATATGACAATTACAATTATCAATAATATTTTTTATGTTTATCCCATAAAAATGTTCATTGTTTAAAAATTCCCATTTGGAGAAAAATTAGTTGATCAACGGGAAGTTTTGTTGTGGGAGAGGGCTAGGCCTCAATTAACCATAAACTGTTATTAGATTTCATTTTAACCGTAGAGTAGAGTAGTTACAAACCAAGGAAAGTTTAATGCTATGTTTAAGAGTTCAATGTTTGAATTTGATAAGATGTAAAGGGTAGGAAATTAACAAACTGAAGAATGTGTACATTTGATAAGTTAATTCTGCTAAATATATGTTTTTCTCAAAAAGGTAATATAACGAATATGATTAGTTCAAAATTACTTTCCATACATTGGAGCTTAACTTCTGTTGATTGAAGATAAACTACTGGTTTACATCAGATCATAGGCTTCTTGATTGTCGTATCCCATAGATGTCTGTATTCGGAACAAATAATGTTCTTTCAGTACGCATATTTTAAAACTACACATCTGAACGTGTAAGCGAAAAGTCCCTTACTTTGGCGAAGATTAATTGATTTCCATCTGCACACAGTTTTTTACGTTATTTGTTCCTTGCGTAGTTTGCTTTGATTCAGTGCGTCCTACTCTTCTTTCCGAAATGGATGCGAAGCGACGACCAAGAAGACGGAAGCTTCATGTAAACAGAAAGCGGCGCTCCCATCTGCTTCAGCGTACTTTAAGTGAAGAAATAACACTTTCCGGTGAAAGAGAACTCTCGAGGGTCGTCCTATAATTACATAAAGACAAAGAGGAGGGAAAGGGTTTGATGCACCGTTATGCATTGTTACACAGGGGTACGAGGGAGAGTAGTTTAGAGTTATTAACGCTGATATTTTTTTTATTTTTCAACATTTGCTGAATTAATTTTATTCAGTCCTATACTACAATAATATTAACAAGTTCAATTAAAAATATAAATAAATTTGAAATTAATGATGTACACATTATTACAATAAATGGAAATTCGTTTTTCATCAATAGATTGATTCTGTTAGATATCAAAGAAAGTACTCAGAACTGATCTTTAGTACATTTTAGAAATCAATTAAATTTTTGGCAAATACCTTTGCCCATGCGTCATTCATGACGGGTGTGCCCGACGTGGAAGACATTTTTTCGCCCTTGCCTTCCCTTTCGTGAAAATTGCCCCCAATCTTATTGGTAGGAACAGTCAGCATAGACAGTTAACTCTGTCTTTAATTATCACACATTTTAACGTACAACACAAAATTAATGTAATTTTTTTTACTGTGATAAAATTAATTTGTATCTAGGTACTGTGCAGAGAGGAACTGTCACTTTGCGACGTTTAGTATCTCAGAGTCGACTGACGCTCAGCGACGTTTCTTGGCTTAAAATAAAGGTGTTGTGCGCTCAAATTTTGTCACATGTTGTAGACAAAATTTGTACAAATTGAACCATGTTTTGACAAGAAAGTTAAGTGTTAAAAGTTAGGTTTGCTTACTTATTCGTGGAAAACAAAATCCATACGTCGCTATTATGTTGCAAGGAAATACATCAATCACACTTGAATTAAAACAAGTGGAGGCTCCTTGGGATAAGAAAGGAAAGCAGTACCTACCTACTAAAAATGAATTTCTTTAATACTTATCATAAATGTTGCTTAATCATAATACTTGTCAGCCATGTTGAATGACTCTTGGAAGATCCGTAAGTATTTTTAATTTGGATTTAAAAATATAAGCATTTCATTATTGTACTTCCACAACGTTGATGCTAAAATCTCATTACTTTTCGAAGCGAATGCATTTCATCCTTACAACAAAAGTACTATGTTCAATTTTTAGTGATATTTTATACTCGTACACAATTGGAATTAATGGATCATTTTCATATTATAAAACATATATTATTTAATTATTCGAAAAAAATTCTACAACATTACGTTGGATTGGAATGTAAAGGTTTGAGACAATTCAGTTCAGTCCTGACCTTTGGAATTGGAGATTTTTTTCCCACCAGCGTCAAGGACAACAATTTCTGCAGCACGCATGATAACGAAAGGAGGCATGTAGAAGACGTCAGAACTTGTGGGTTATTCTGTTTATACGCATGCGTGAGCTGAGTTGCAGATTCATGCAGTTTACAGTGCGTGTGATATTCACATTATAATCGTCATCGACTATTGACAAACAGATGCATCCTATGCCATCCCTAAGCCTATACCACTCAAGGACAACAGCGAAAATTCGATTTCCGCAGAATTAGAACAGTATCATAATATATTAGACGAGGGACTCAATATGAGTGTTGCAGCGCCGTAGCACATTCGGACGAGGAGTCTCTGATGACGTCCAGCTGCAATCGCTATTCAGTCGTAGGCCCATCGTACGCGTCGGGGAGCGCGGGGTCGGAAGTGAGGGTGGCGGCCGCGCGAGGGGCGTTCTGTCGAACAAATTTGCTGAGGCGGCCGCCAGAGCGCGGGCGTGCGGCCGCGACCGCAGCGCTCCGCGGCGCCGGTGGGCGATCCCGTCAATACGCCGAATTAATTATCAGAGTGTGCGCGCAGTGTTTGCCGCCAGCGTGTGGGCGGGCCCGCGACCACGTGCGCGTTTCCTGCCTGCCCCGGACAGCGGGGGCGGAAGCGGCGCGCGGCTTGCGGACGAGGTGGGGAGGAGCAACGGAGGTAAGCTGGGGCGAGAGAGAGAGAGAGAAAGAGAGAGAAGAGAGAAGAGAGAGAGAGAGAGAGAGAGAGAGAAGAGAAGAGGAGAAGAGAGAAAGAGAAGAGATCGAGAGAGAGAGAGAGCAGGGAGGTTTGCGGACGCGGAGCAGGCGAGGGAGCCGAGTGGAGCGAAGAGTGCGGAAGAGAATGGCAGGGAATAGATGTGGTGGGACGGGAGGGACGTGGGTGGCGGAGGAGCTGAGAAAGGGTGGTGGAACCGTGAGTGGAAGCGCGTGACGGCGCCACGGGTTGGAGGGTGAGGCGGAGCAGGAAAAGGGATTGTGAGTGGCAGAGGCGGGAGCGTGAAATGGTGTGTGGACGTGCAGGAGAAGAGGGAGGAACGGGTGGCGAGCGGACGTGGGATGAGGGTGGGCGGTGTGCGAATGAGGAGGAGAGGAGGAGGCGGGGCCTGCGACTGGGCGGGGCAAGAAGAGAAAGGTGGTCAGGGTTGGAGCGATACGTCGAGGGTGAGAATTCCGCGAGCGAGAGGGAGGTGTCGAGCGCGGGGCGGTGTGGAGCAACGGGGTAGGAGCGTAAGAGGAGTGGCGGCCGGCTGCTCATGCGTAGACAGGTAGCAGTGTGAGTGAGCAGTGTGTGCGTTGCCCCGCATGGCCGACGAATGTCCAATGGTCTCACCCTGCTTCCCTCAACATCGCATTATGTTGTACTGTGTATTGACGCAAAACGTGTTATTATGTTAACCAATTGTGAACGACATCGCCCACTAAATAAAGGAACAGTGAACCAGTAATAGTTGTAGGACAGTGCGAAACGACTAGTAAAAAGATGCATACTAACATTGTTTAATCGATGATATGCGGTTGCAATTATATTAATGACAATCCCAAGAAAGAATTTTGGAAAACCCAATTTAGTTCAGCCCATTCAAGTTATGGAAGTTTGAGTTAACCAAGGATTGTTTGTAGTTTTATTCATAGTTTTACTATGAAGATTAGTATAGTTTATTTCATTTAGTCATTAAATATTTATTTCCAATGGTTTTCTGTCAATTTCTTTACTACATACATGTGAATAAATACTTTCAATGTTTTTCTAATTACAGGTTCTCGATGCGCCTTCGAAATTTAATTAAATAAAACCAAATTCACCATGTATCCACCTAAAAATAACTGCCACCACATGTGCTTATCTAAAGGGAGCAATGTTTCATTTGATGGATTGATTTTCGAAGAAAAATGTTCAAGTGAATATGAAGCAAAACGTTATTTGAACCAGTTAACGAACTTGGGCATTGTTAAAATTAAATTGTATATATTACTACCCACTATCGTACTACAGACACTTTCTTTGAAACTTGATAGTGTTCATTCATGGTACCCATGAACTTGATAGTGAGCATCCTGCGATTATATTGTCATTTTCTGAAAGCGTCAGATTGTCATTAATAAATATTGAAATAGGTAGTGATACACTGTTGTAACAAGACTTTTTAAAAATAAAAACCGTGCCCATTCCAGTTACTGCAGCCCCAGGAATTCAACGGCAGTCAAAATATCGACAAGTGCTTACAATTAATTCACATCTGCCTAAACATTAGTGTTAAGCCAGAAAGAAGAAGAATTACCAAAAAGGTCCAGTTCAGTGTATGCCGGCTTAGACTTTGGACACACCAAAGAATAACTGTAACAATTCAATCGGCGTGTATTTTCTGTGCCACAAATCATTATTCTGTTAATTGCCCTTAAAAAGATTTTACCTGCAGTCTGTAAAAAATATTGCAATGCGATTCTCACAGAGCTGATTTAAAGATCAATAGAATTGCCCATACTATAAAAAACAAATAGACACCCCCTCAAGTAACTCCAAATCAGGCAATACTTAAAAATAGATTAAGAAACAACCCCCCTCCAAGCAACTCACCTCACAAAACTTCCCATCTCTCCCCACACATCGTACAAATATTCCAAATTTTACATTTGCTCCAAAACCCTCCCCAAAATTACAAATCAAAACAACCGACCTAACAATAACCCATCCCACACATCCTCCTCTTATTAAATATTCTAATAATAACGCTTTCATTCATTCCATTATTAACTCAATTACCTGCTTCTTAGGTCGAATATTATTAATATTAATCCATCCGAACAATAGTCAGCAATTTACAAAGCATCTCTCTCAGCCTATTTTAACAACAATAATGCTACAGAACCATAAAAATGATTTAAAATCCTGCTCAACTGGAACGCGAAGGCATCAACAATAAAAAATTAGAACTAACGTATTTTTTAAATGATAAGAAAATAAATCTAGCTTGCATAACGGGAAACGCATGTAAAATAGATGTTACATTTTAATATATCAGGTATAGTGTAGTCAGAACCGAACAGATCAAATGCAAACGGAGGTGCGCTGTACTAAGTACTAATAGAAAAATCCATACCATTTATAAAGTCACCGTCCACACCGCCAGTCTCGAAAAAACTATAGCCATTAAATTCCCTCGAAACAATAGATTTAATAACCCTAATAGCGGCATACAAGCCTCCGAAAACAAAAAAATTTCTGACTCGAATATTTCAGCGCTATTCCCCAGCATGAAAAAATTCGCCCCACTCTTCTGATTGGGGATCTGATTCTAAAAACTATATGGGGTATAGAAATACCAACACTGCAGGGACGCCAACTGAGCAAAATAATTACGACCTCAAACTTCAGTTAATTATCCCAGCAGAACCCACTCACTACCCCACAGATGTACAAAACAAACACCCAGACATATTAGATATTGCAATTTCTAACACTCAAATCACTTTTCACTCAGCTCCCCTTTTTTGAACTAGATTCGAATCACCTGCCCCCAACGATTTCATCTTTCAAACTCAAACAGAATTTACGCCCCCTCACCACTCCAACTCTCACACTTAACACACAAAAACATCAACTGGAAAAAAATTTAAGACATAATTGAAAAACAATCACCCACCTTTAAAATATTAAAAACTGCCGCGTAGAAACTAGAACAAGCTATAGCCTTTTAAACAGATATGATAATTAACACAATCAACATTCTTAATAAAACAAATGCTCAGCCCCCCACCAACTAAAACATTTCAATAAAAAACTTCCGAAAAACATTGCTTACAATTTATTAACACTAGAAACCAAACAAGAAGACTTTTGGTGCAGCATGAGAAACCCACAGCTTAAGGACAGACGTTAAATTTACTAATCCAACATAGTAAAAAAAACACTAAGGAACATAAACAAACAACATACAATTAACTTAATCCAGTCCTCAGCACAAATAACAACGACGTTGTGGCAATTCACTAAAATATCTTGAAAAAGGAAAAAGCCAATAATATCCCCATTAACAAATCCAACGGGCAAGAAATTTGCTTCTATGAGCAAGGCTGAAGCATTAGCCGATCACTTTGCTAAATCATTTACTCCAATGCCACCCCAATCACCACTGTGCATTCAAAACATATTTCGAAATAGGCATAAGCCCCCAACTATAACGTTACCACACAAAATCAAACCTACATATCCCAACATGATGTCATTAATTATAATTAAGATATTTGCCCCAATAAAAAAAGCCCCTGGACACGACAGAATAAGTAACAAAATCGTTTAAAAAAACCGTACCTAAACCCACATAGCATATATCACAATATTTTACAATTCAATAATTAGAACTGGTTACTTCCCTTATTTGGAAAAATTCAAATGTAAACCCCATCCCCAAAGCCCATTCAAAAATCTAATCCAAAAACTGAAAACTACAGACCCATTAGCTTTCTTCCTACTTTATCAAAAATCCTAGAACAACTAAAATCCTTAAAAGACTAATTTCCCATCTGAAATAAAAACGTCAAACCAATCCCAAATGCCACCCAATTTGGCTTCACTAATTAAAGGTTTTCAACGTCTCCATCAATATTAAGAAGCACGAGCACATACACACGGCATTTCAAAAAAATAAGAGCATACAATACTTACCTTTTTAGACATTTCGAAAGCTTTTGACAAGGTGTGGTTATCCTGGATTTAATATTCAAAACTTAAAGAAATAGGGCTACCCTAACTATTTAATAATATCATTTAGTTAAATTAATAGCTTGCTCCAAGATAGAACATTTTTCAGTCACAGTAATAATCACACATCCAATCCCCGCCAGAATTATAGCTGGATTACCTCAAGGCTCACCACTGTCCCCACGCTTTTCAACATATACACAGCCGACATTCCCATACATTCGCACACGCACATCGCCCAATTCGCCGATGACACCGCCAAGTTGTTCATGTCGTTAATCATTTCAACTAAATCAAATCTGTAAACAAATTCAAACACATTTAAATAAAAGTGATGAATTGGTCTGTCAAATGGAAAATCAAAACTTAAATCCTTAACAAAAATCATGCGCCAAAATAATTTCTCATTAAGAACATTCAACCCAACACACTCCGAATAAACAAAACCAAATTCCATGATCTCACCAATGAATCTGCTTAAATACTAGGGCTGAATCTTGATACCAGAACTAAATTGGAAAAATTCACATAACAGTAAAAGCCACAGGCAAGCCAAAATAAAATTAATTCAACTAAGATGCCACTCTTAAAATCGCCAATAGTTAAGCTCCATTAAACAATGCCAGCACCATCTATAAATCAATAATTAGACCCCTAATGCTTTATGCATGCCCTATTCTGATCAATGCCTTCAAAAAACTTAATATTAATTAAATTACAAGATCATCCCAAAATAATTTCATCAGGACTTGCCACTCATTGCACCCTGGGTTGCATCTCAAACATTCAACTGCATAAAGAATTTAATTTACCTCCGTATACCTTTACCATATCGCGCTCCTATCTAACAAATTTCTTCTCCAAAATTAAAACACAATAAACCCAAGCCCACCCACTACGCTAGCCACCACCTACCCAGCTCCCAACCAAGAATAAAAAATAGATATCCATAGATTCATTCCTCAGCCAATTTTCAGAAGTCATAATCACATAGGATGCTCTGTGAGTTTCCTATTCATGTGTAGTTAGATTTAGTTGTAAGATTAGCATTTTAAGTGTAAATATAAGTCATAAAAAAATACATATGAGTATAAATTAATACTGAACTATGTATATTCGTTCACTAATAAAGATACATTATAAATATTAAAAAAAAGTGATACACTGCGATGTTTCAAAGTTTCAATAACAGTTTTAAACTGAATGTGTCAATATTTAAACTCACAACCCGATGCTTCGCTACAAAAAGTAGTGATAATTCAAAAGATATCAATTAGTTCCGTAAATCATTATTATCACAGCTGCCACAATTATTTTTTTAACTGGTTAGCTTCGTCTCAACTGCGGTGAAAATGTACCGTGCATGTATTTTAATTAAGTTTGAGTCTTGAGTGATAACATCAGTCACATCGGTAAAAATAGACATACAACTCATAACTAGCGGGCGGACTTTGACGACCTACAACATTCTCAAAAATTATGAATAAAATGCTCTTAAAATGTTTTAAAAATGCCCCAAAAAGAAAGAAAAATGACGTAAAAATGACGTAAAACCACTTCAGATGAACATCTCAAGCTGTTGAATATGTTGAAATAGAGGCTTTTTGCATGCGTTCAATTGAACTTAGTTTGCGAAATCGGCCGAACTGACAATGGCGCGATATGCGTCACAGGAATCTTAGATTACATAGTACTCACAACGGCTGACATAACAATATATGGGTGAAGAAATCGAATACGCTACTCAGGGATTCTGTAATGAGTATTTGTTGCACCTCGTAAATATTGTGTGACGCAAGTACCATTAAAATGATATTCAAATCGACGAAATCAGCAAAAAATGCTGTAAAAATGACGCAAAAGGGGAAAATTGACGAAAAATGCAAAAAAGACATAAAAATGGGTCTTTTCATTTTGTCAGCAATGACCGTAGAAAATGAATTTTTATACTAAACGGCAGTATTCTGTAGTGAAGAAAAAAATGACATTTCATTAACATCCGCCCACTACACATAACAATGAAAGAAAGAGATATCACAAACAATATTATTAACTTTTTTACTACTAAATGCAGAAAGTATATTACACGACGTGTGCGAAGTCATTCCGGACATGATATTAAATTGAAACAACCGATGTCTTTAAAGTGATTACATTCACTCGCAATATTTTCATATTGTAGACGTTGTAATGTACCAAATCGTGATAAAAATAAAGCTGAGAAGACAGGAGCATCAAATTTAAACACAGGAGCCCAAATGCATAATAAATTGGCACTTATTCAAAACAGGACCCAGTATTGCATTTCGAACTCGCATCCACATCCCGTAAATTAATGTTTCGCCAGGAAGTTAATAATTCTCTCTCAAATACGTTCGGAAGCAGCTGGCGTGGCTCCCAACGCTCGAACAAACGCACGCTCGCCTCTCCCATGCGCGCTCCACGTCTCCGGGAGCAGAGAACAAACATAACCAAGACGTCACGCCGACGCACGCCCTGAGCCTGCGATCCGTCACGCCCACGGGCCGCGCCGTGCCGTCAAAGGTCCCCCCTCCCTCGCGGCCTAGACCGCATTCAGCTATTCCATACATACGCGACGATCGGCAAACACCGCGGAGGGGGCCTTGGAGCGTTAGCCTATTGAGGTAATGGAATTAATATTTGAGCAGATGCCGCCTACATCTGCATTGGGGCCCGTGCAAAAAGTCTGTGCCATTCTGGGGGCGGAGCGTCGTATTTGCTAGAGCCGAAGGGGAGTTCGGTGAAAGGAGACGCGATATTCCGTCTCTGCACGTCTCGTCACGAAGGGAAGGTGAGGGGAAGGGAACCACAGAACGAGCAGCGGTGTTTCAATGGCAGCCGGCGGCGTACAGTCAAGGTACAAGCAAGCTGAACTATGTTGAATTGATTATTGTATTGTGTTGCACATGGTATAGTACTTCAATGGGGGACTATGAAAATAATACATAGAGGGTGACCCGTAAAGAAGTGAAAAGCACACTGGATACTGGAACAGAAATCCTGGAGGAGACAATCCTGTATGTGGAATTCCTGGACAAAGAGAGTTTACGTCAAGTTTCTCGCTTGCCTGCCTCTCATTCTACCATATATTTGACCTTCACGCCTCCAGATTAAGTGGCTCGGCCCATCTGAAGTCACTGCTGTGCCACTGAGCGGAGTGACCTAAGATTCCACTCCTGACGGTGATAGAATTTCCGACACTAGCTAGGTAACGTACAGGCACTATGTTGTCTTGAGTAGAATTCCAGGATACGTCTGAAATTTCGAAAAAATAAAGATATATATTTTTTACTTTCTCGCATACTGCTTAGGTGGTATAGAGAAATTATTTTAATGCTGAAAAAACACCAGTGATTTTTCTAGAGAAAATGTCTTATTGTTGGCACTCGTAACGAAAATGTTGATAGATCTTTTTCCTAAATTACTTCCTCTAACACGTTGTGTAGTCAGAATCCACATCTGATGGGATCTTAATATAAAAAAATTGTATTACGGCAATACATCTGTCTGTCTGTGAACAACTCTAGCAGCTAAATCGTGAGCAGGATTTTCACCGAAATTAATATTTCCCATTCGATTTGAATGAGGCCGCGGTCACTTGAATTTGAAACGAATATTTTTAATTTTGGCGGTACCTTATATGAAGCGTCAACATTTCTATTTTTTTTCAGAAATGGCTCCGAATTTTTAAATATTGTACCCTCCGATGGAGCAAAAGAAATTGATTTAAACGTTTAAAGGCGTTCTTAGTCTTAATCTTAAATGGTGCAAGAATTGGAAATTTTCGTTTAACTTCCTGAATTTTCGAAAACTGCGAAGTTAAAACTTTTTTCGTCACTTTCTTGCAGCTGCATTCCCTACGATGGATCAATAGCAGCTTCCCTAGGTGTTACGGGTATCGTTGTAATCGGGTTCGATTCCTGACCGAGACAAAAATAGAATAACATACTATTTAAATTCATTCTTAGTTTTTGTAGCTACGTGATAAAGAAAAGTTCAGGTAAGTTTGCCAGTGGAGTGATATTCGCTTCGTGGGACTTAAACTAGGCCCAGACTTGGGGGACAGTTAACAAAACCGGTCAATTGACCCAAATTGCCAAGTACATACAATACGTCTTAGAAGTAAAAATATATTTGAAATAACATGTTAAAGTTTTCGAAAATGTGCTAAGTTTTTGCATAATTTTGGGTAATACACATAATTTTGCGTAACATTGGTACACAATTATGAAACAATTTAAAGAAATATTATCTGTCCGTTCGCAAAATGGCAGCCATTTTAAATTCTGAGAAATTTTGACATTACCATATCAAAATCAATATTCTTATGGAAGGAAATAGATTTAACTTAGAATTAACAAATATATTTCTTTTACTTTAAGGAGTTGTTGTCGCTGATTTTGTTATTCAAAAATTGGAAGTTGACTTCGATGTAAGAATGCAATAGCAAGAATGTATAAAATTATTCTTGCTTTTCTCCGTCATGTGCTGCAAATACTGTAGCAGTTGAATTTGTGTTCAGTTGTTCGTTTCATTTGTAAACCTAGAAATGACTATCGTTCCTGACAATAGAAATAAATACCAATATGCACCACAGATCCTTCATTGGGATTGGTTGATTTGAAATTTTTCTTGTTATATCTGAAGTGTTATTATGGCAGAAATTGCAATATTTCTATAATACGTAACTGTTTCCAATAATATGAGAAAGTATATTCTGCTGTAGTAAATCTAGTGCTGAATTAACGTTGTACGGGGAAAGAGATCTTGCTAACAACCAGAACAAAACTTATGAATATCGTGATGTGACGGCGGGAAAGCCTAGCAAACAGATTGAGGCTGTTTCAACAACAGTTTTTGAAAAAAATAGTTACTTGTAATACGAATGGTAAAAGTAGCATTTTATTTTGCGTTTAGAAAATGTTGTCACACGAGATCGATATGCCGTGGCGCAATCCTACAAGCAAAATAAAATCACTTTTACCACATGTGTCATATACTATTTTTTGACTGCCGTACAGGCTTTCAATTGCTTTTTAAGAATACAAATTACTTAATGATACATTGAGATCAATAGTAGCTGATGTGACCAGGAGAAATTATTTTTTTGTTGCTTTCACAGATTTATCTGAACACTTGACTATCGTCTCTCGTGTAGCACTAGTGTTAAAAAATTAACTTTTAGTACACTACATATGCCCTGAGAGAACCGCTTTTACTAATGGCTGTCTAAAGAATAAATCTTTTTATATAAACAATGTTTTCTTGTAAATATGTGTGTTACGCGATTGCTTGAAAATTGTGTAAAATGATGTGAATAATTTACCTGAAACACCTTAAAATAACAATCTTAATATGAGCAATATCCGAAAAGTCAGTTATATATTATATTATGTTATGATATAATAATATTCCGTCGTTCACTGTACTTCATAATTGCATGACCTCAATACATACTGGTTATTGCATCGTTGTGACTTGTAATTGTGGAAATTACCTCCGGAATATTTATGCTGCTGCATTTCCTCCATTTTTTGGTTCATTGGTTGTAATTTAAACAAATAGCCGAACAATTATCTGCTATTATAAAAACAAACGAATTTCTATCGCGCTGGATATTATCGCTGAAAATGTTTAATCACAGTTGTGTTGAAGGAATGGAAAATTCAATGTCCGTCGATGTCTACCAGTGTGAACGCAGGAACATTCAGTGTTAGTGATTTATATCTCTTCAGGTCATTGGAGATCTTGGGGGTAAATAATTATTATTGCTAATTGATCATATCGAATTTTTCGAAGAGATAGGAACACTTGGGTAAACTATTTTAAAAAGACAATGGGATACTTACCTCTTAGTTTGACATGCTTAAAATATATTACATGACTAGGCTATATAGATTGCTGACTTCTATTTAGATTATGAATTTCTAGTTAGTTACGAATCTCTTCATTACGAATCCTGTCTTTTCTTGTGCAGCCCCTAAAAAACTCTCATCAGTCTGAATCCTAGTTCTAATTTTTGTGTTCATAATATTTAATGCGTTTAATTGCATTTAATATTATTCGTTTATTAAGAAGTTTTAAATTTTAAAAATGAGATGAATTATATTACTAAAAGTTAATAATGTAACTTCCCATAGTGAAAGTAAAACAAATTATTGATAAATTATAAAATTATTAATATTTAATATATAATAATAAATAATAGTACAATTAAGAAAAAATAATCAACACTGTTTGCTGTATTACATTGAGTGATACTCATACAATGAAACAATGAATGAAAAAACCTGGATCAATGAAACAAAGCCCGGCTTCGAGTTCTACAAAATAAATCCGATCCTAGTTGAGAAGTAATAAACTGTAATGTATGTAGCATGGGAATGAATTATAAATGAAAGCTCGTATTATCTTCTTGAGCCGCCTTCTGTGTATGATTGTTTAAGAAAGCAAATCATTAAGATGTATGTTTTTAAGGCACACAAAGGGAAAACTACAAAAGTGCTCTGGTGTACCTTCTGGATTCACTGCCACCATGCATGCCTGGTTCCATGGAAGTAGTAAAATTATTTTTATCTGCATTCTCATTTACGGCGTTGTTTGTGAGAAAATTGCTGACCTGTACTATTTACACCCTTTACAGCATGTAAAACAAGTTTCGTGTCTGCTCTTACGTGGAAAGAGTAACGCTAGTTGTTGCTTCAGTTGAACTTATGACCTTACCGGACAGATAGGGGGTGGTTGGGAGGGTGGGAATGAGGTCAGGAAAAGGACTTGTGGTGAGTAGGGAGAGGAACGGAGTGGTGCGAGGCGAGTCAGTCTGTTGCAGAATAAAGTGGGAGTGGTTGGAGTGAGAAGTGATGGGACGGAGTAGGTCAGATAGAAGCAGAGAAATGTGAAGGAGCACAGGGACTCGGGTGGGGGAATCGTGGCGGAGAGAGCGACGCTGATGCAGTACTGGGCGGAGTGGAATGTTGAGAGTGGAGTGAAGGGTGGAGAGGGACGGAGAGTAAGGTGTTGCGGGCGAAGTATGGGGTATGGTGGGGTGGAGCGCGGGGTGTGGTAGATGGTAGAGGGATATTGTGGGGCGGAGTGTGTGGCATAGCGGGGCAGAGAGTGATGTGACGGGGTGCAGCGGAGCGGAGGGAGAGCTGTAACGTTTAGCGGGTCGAAGTGTGGGGTTAGCGAGGCAGAGAGTGGGGCGTTACGGGGCGGAGTATGGGGTGTAACGGAGAGGATTGTGGGGTATTGCGGGGTAGAATTAAATTAATGCCTTTTTTTACGAGGAGAAACGAGGCCATGAGACCTGCTCTTCCGCCTGATCACACAAATTTCGCTACGCTCCTTTCACCAACTAGTGAAGAAAGGAGGTATTTCTTAACGACGAAAGAGGCGATTTGAATTTAGCTCAGAACCTTCATTTAGACTTGAGGATCTTTTACATGCATTAAATCTACTAACATGGGACAGCCGGCTTTACTTCCCCTCCGAAGGAAGTTCGTACGAAGTAAGTTTTCGCCCTTACAAATCCACGCTTCGATCCGCGTATTAGAGTGTGGCGTGCAGGCGCTGGGCGTAGTACGGTATGCTCGGGGCGCGGGATGTGGCGGTGCACGAGTGGAGGCGGAATGCCGAGCGGCAAGAGGCAGGCGGGAGAGGGTCAACCACGAGAGAGCGCCGCATCGGGAGGGATCGGAATGGATTGTGAACGTAGTGGCGCTGGGTGGGGGTGGGGGAGAGGTTCTGACGTTCTGAGCCCAGGAGGTCGATGCGCGATGTGCATTGTTACCGAGGCCCGCACAACAAAGGCGGGCTTCTGACCTATCGTGTTCAAGCGTTGTCACGATCTTCACCTCCGCCGCCAGCCGCGTTCCCACTCTTCGCCGCGGCCGCTCGCTTTCGTCTCTGCTTTGCTGAAAATGTTGAGAAAACATCTGCAGAGATTGTATCCGCCTTTTTTAAACGTTGTTTCTTTGTAGTTGGTCTCACGCAACTTGCCTCCATACTTGGAAAATAAGGAATGTTGTCTGGTATCAATAATTTATTAAGCTTATGATCGTTTTGATCGCGTAGTGGTCATCCTCAGAGCTGACAGCTTCTGGGACGAAAACAAAGTTCTATTCAATACTTGGGTTTGTAATGTCTTTAGATATGCTTACTTAGTTATAATATAACTACTGATATTCGAAATGATTAGATTTTAGAACCCATTTAGTAAAACTTCTTTAGACAAACTCTAAGAGATCGGTTTAATCGTTTGTATTATAAAAATCCGTATTATATCCATATTATTATGTTTTACCTGACACAATTTTTTTCTGTTATGGTGAAATTCGTGTTAACTTTTATACGAGATGATTTTATATGTATATATCATAGCTTTGTATGTATATTCCTAGGCAACCAAATCCCCTAGTAAACACATCTGGATGGAATATTATATGAAACTTTATGTACACTTTGCTTACATATGGGAATTGACTCATTCTCCTTACTAGATGAACATTAAAACATGTTAATACCGCCCGTTAAGGTCGTTAGTACCGCTAGCGTAGTAAATTTTGTTTATTCTGGGAGGTCGCGTTGTAAGTCCTTTACCGGATGATGAGATAAGGCGCCAACTCTCACGTCGCCGTGCGAGGAATTTCCGTCTCCGGGCATCTCGCCCCAGGGTGGAACCACCACAGCAGATCAATCTCTAAACTCTCGAATGGACTCTAGTCAAGTGTAGTGGTGCGGTGCATGTAAGTGTGTGAGGGAATAGCAGAGGGTAAGAAAGAGGAAGGAAAGATTGCACACAGTCCTTATCCAATTTTTTAGGGTATTGCTTGGGAGTTCTCTTGGTGTTGGTCGGAGAAAACACGGAAAAGTATCGATCAGAGCAGCCGGCCGCTAGAATTCTCCTCCTGGCAGCAGCTGCAGAGACTGAAATTGACCTAGTTATGTAGCCAGGGTCGAAAACCCTGACTTGACTGAACTTGAACCCTTAGGCTTCTTAGTAAAAGTAGGTGCTAAGTCAGCGGCAATGCTGGTTTTCAGCTGATAATACAGCGGAATTGTATTTACATCACGTGATTAACCTCCCACAAAGCTCTGAAAGTCAAAACTAATATATTTATGTAATGTATTCCATCATATTTTCAGTTTTTATTTTAGTAATACAGAAGTATCAATCTCAGCTAGGTGAAAATAATAGTAAATCTAACAAGAGTAAGATCTATTAGAAGTGGAACAGGAAGTTTTATCTCACATTTTAAATCGAAGATATTTGTCATAACATTACCTTATTGAAGATTACTTTACACGAATCCTATACTTTTTTCCTTCCCAGATTCTCATCCTATAGTGATGACGTCATTAGCCATCATTCCGTAGAAAGAAAGAGGGAGAGGGAGGTGATGGGTATCGCCGAAAATTGGCTTCCTTTTCTCCCCATCTATAAGCTCGTCGTCACGGCTCCGCCTTCTCCTTCGTCACCGCCATTGTCCTAGCCGTTGCTGCTGCTGTATCTGTTGTCTGTCTGTTAGAAAGCGCAGGCGCAAGCACCTTCTCGAGTCAGCACTTCCGCCCCTACCCCTCGCCGACCCCGACCACTTTTCTTATCCTCGCCCCCGTTCTGTTCTGGGATTCCATTTCTCTCACCACTCCATACCTCCACTTCCATTGCCTCCCCTACCTCCGGACCCGCCACCATCTCCCCAGGCGTCTTTGCCACCGCCCCCACTTCCCCCTCCCACTTCTGCCTCCCCCACCGCAGCCACCACCACATTAGTATCCGTCTTCGCCGCCGCCTTCACCATCACCTCCGCCTCGTCTCAGCCTTCGCCACTGCCATCACATTATCCACCGCCTCTTCACCCACCTCTACCTTCGTCTTCGCCATTGCCTTCGCTCCGGTCTCCATCTACGCCACCGCCTCTTCCTCTTCCAATATCTCCGATTCCGTAATTACTTCCGTCTCCACCACCGCCACCGCCTTTGCATCCACCTCCGCCACCTCCACCTCCTCCTCTGCCTTCTCCACCGCTACCGTCTCCACCGTCGCCTCCGTCTCCACTAATGCCTTCGCAACCGCCAACGCCTCTGCCACCATAGCCGCCCCCGCTTCCATCCCACCTCCGCCATTGCCATCCTGACACTGAGTCCGCTTCCACCACCATCACCGCCACCCTCTCCGCCCAGCTTCACTCTCCGTCACCGACTCTCCTTCCGACACCTCCACCGCCACTGGTCCGCTCCTGCTCCCCACCCTCGTCCCGCGCGGAGAGGCGTAGTAGCGGCCGCTGCAGCAGCGCTCGCGTGCTGGCGTAATGATCCCACTGCGATGGCCGCCTCCATTTTTCTCCCGGTGTTCCCTCGCAAATGGGTTTACATTAGCGCGCTCTATCCCGCAACCCTTCTCCATCTCTCACCCCCCTCTGCAGGCGTTTGCTCTCCCCTTCTGCGAGCCCAAGCCTTCCCCTCCCTCCTTTTCTCGCCCGCTTGCCGGTATCCCTTGCTGCTGTGCTTCTTTTTTTATTTTCCAGGTTCTTTTCTTTATTTGTCAGGTATCATAAGAGAGGCAGGTAATGCTTCAAGGGGGCCCAGCGGAGAGAAGCCTGCTGCTGTTGTGTTGTTCCTCATGGAGGTGGCGAGCGGGATGGTGGACGAGATCGGATTGAATGTGTGGTTGTTGCTTTGGTGACTATTATTATTATTATTATTATTATTATTATTATTATTATTATTATTATTATTATTATTTCGACCGCGAATTACAATGTTAATGTTCTTCTGAATACAGGGATAATACAGGATCCCACGTCTTTCGTTTTTCGTTTGGAATTTGATTTCGCAAATGTAACTTCGCGAGTGTGAAACTTCGTGAGTAATTTCCTTTGAGGTTAGGGTTCGTTTGACGCGTGTGTGTATGTGCATCTGGCACTCTCTTAAAAAGAAAAGAAATTAGAAGCAAGTGAGGTAACTAATATCACTGTATGTACGTCTCCCCACTTCAAAAATCTCTTATTTTAAACTCTTGATACTTTCTACTATGCACTCTGATAAAAGTATAAACTAGCAAACGAGCAATGCAAAAATAAGTAAGCGATTGAAATTAAATGTGTGTCCAAGATTAGAGAACGATAGTATATGCAAAACTGCAGGCTTCAAATGCAACAATCCTATCTTCCAATAACATATTTTCATGCAATATCAACTCATTAGACGTGAAACAAAATTATTGTTTTCTTGAAATAAATATTCAGTAACTTAATATACTGTTATTTTATTCTACACTTTGGAGTAATAGATTACCCAACGTATCCATCTACCAGTGAGCATTCATTTGAGGGTTAATTGTTGAACGACTTTGTAGTGTTTTGTTGGAAAGAAATAATTACATTTGTCGATAATAATGAACAAACTATTTATAGAAAGTATTGCATTACGGCCGACCTCTCTGACAAACGGATTTACAATATTGACTTGGCGGGCCGAGCCAGGTGCTGCCAATTCCTAACATGCGTAAGGCTTGAGTGTTTCCAACATGTGGAGGTGATGATGTTGGGTTCATCATGCTACCATGTCTTCCATGAGACTACATCCCATTCCATAATACAGGCACACAAAATGAATACTTTTTTTACTAAGTTAAGTTAAGGCGAGAAAGTAAAATAGTTGTCAGACCCAAAGACTTGACACATGTATGTCGCTCTGAACCCGAATCTCAAGCCAGAATTGCAACACCACAACATTTTAATAATTTGCAAATTTGTAAAAATGAGAGTTTCTAACGAACGTGGGACCACCACAAGTCTCTCAAACCTCCTTCACACTATCCAACAACAAAGTTTAATCAAAAAAGGATCCATGTTTGAAAATTTTGAAAATGTCTCAGGGTGATATCGGCCAGATCGATTTTCCAATATGAATTTTGGAGAAAGCCATCTCAACTGTTTAGCCGCTAGCGTTTATCACAGACGGCCGGTCGGATAGACAGACACACGTTTCGTTGTCAATTGAGTTTTCAGTCAAGTACCCACAAAACGCTGCACTTTGTGATAAAGAATTTTCTCCCTAAATTTAGCAACTGGATTTATGAACTTTTTCGTTACAAGGCCTCTGTAATAAGAGGTTTGCTGTCAAAAATTTGCTTCATTTCCCCAAAACATTGCATAACTTTCTCTCTACTCTGTAAGCCGTAGCGGGAAAGTAAAAGGAGAAGTGATTAGAACACTTGCGAAAATATAGGGAGTGTGTGGATTTTCTAAATTCTTGTTAACGGCCTTCCATTGTTTCTTGTCTGTCAATAGGATTCACGGTTACACAGTTATTATTTACTACAATTCTCACATAAATGCTACGTTAAGTTCCTGAACTTTCTATTAAATTGCGATATAAAATTTGTATTTCCCGTTAAAATAAAAAAATTTAATTGGTCCCTTTTTTTCATTGGTTCTGTAAGTTTTTAATAACCCAATCCCCAAATAATAACTCTACCTTCGATTCTTCTTTACCGTTAGAGACAGTGCAGTGGTATTCCATAATAAACACACATTCTCTCTCTGCTCTTCCTTCTCAGTCTTACGCTCTCGCCGCCGAACTCCTCTGAACCAACCAGCCAACACGCAAGTCACTACTTAGCGAGGGCCCCCACCTTTACGTCGGACGTATGCGTCATATTTCAGTCGAAGGATTTCCGGGAGGAAATGTGCGATTTTGTCAGCCGATAGCGGTTCTGAAATATTCTTCCGTGTTACTCATGACGGCCGCCTGTTATTTTTGTCTTTGCCTTCTGTTAACTATTATTTTTTTAATTGTTTTTCGAAATGGTTTTCTTTCCAGATTATGTCGTTGTTCCAACATTACATTGTGCAACATCATCGGAACCCAAGTAACGAACGTATATAATTCGTGAGCTGCAACACTGACACAACTCGAAAAATACGAATTTTAATTTTTGACACTTATTTTAAAATATTTTATATCTGATATTAACAGAACTCCTGTGAATCCTTTTGGAAATGTTTACCCTTTAATCCACCAGTTAGTAAGCGTGTAGTACCTGCAATTCAATCACCTTTTAAAACTATAAACCAATTTTCTCTACACTTCACTTTTCGAATTGTACCGATATTTCATTCCACAGCAATAACTGTTGCATTAATCATATAAGAGACTAGTTAATTTAACTATAGAATATTAATATACCCTTATGTTTCTTACGCATAAGATTGCGTGACTAATATTACAATCTCACAGGATGTTGGAATTCAATGTTGCTGTGTTTTGGGTTGCAAGAAGACGAATACAGTTTAGTATATATAAGAAACAAAATTAAATATTTACATCACTATTTATTTCACTTCCACCTTACACTGTGAAGAGACAGTTACAATATTTATTCATAAAAGCCAAGTTATAAACTACAAGTGAGATATTTCTGCACGCAGTTCATATGGAGTATAAAATTTAGTTGTTTTTTTTTAAGATAGTTGTTTGATTTTTCTACTATTTATTTTCCAGTTCAAAGAAAATTTCTATTAGTCCACAATATTCTTCCCCTTTTGGTGAAGTTTGGTTGACTACCACTTTGTATTCCCCTTCTTCAAATCCTTTGGGGAACTGTCTCGCGAAAACTGAGCATTTGTTGACTTTTATCGCCTCCTGCAAAGAAGTAAGAGTAAACCTTAGACTATGTGACCAATAAATACTTGTGTACCCAGAGTTGATAAATTAATTATTTTCTCTTCTGCACTGTTGTAGAGCCGAAGTCGTTAGCAATCCAAGATCAATTAAAATTTAATATAAGCATAGGCGTGTGTAGTCGTAAACAAGAAGGGGGAAACTATTTTTGGACCCCTGGAGGCCTTCTGATCTATTATTTATTTTATTTACATATGTAATATTTTAATAGGAAATAAATAAAGAATAATACAAGGAGATTGAAATTACAATTTTCATAATACATAATACTAGTTGAATATGGCATCACCGACGTTGTAAACTGATTTTCATATGTTGAAAATTTCGAAATGGTATGCTTTATTCAAAAACGTTCTTTCAGTCTCTGGTATGGAACATACGAATGAATCATCGCTGCTGACAATGTTATACTTCCGTTCAAAAACTCCCAACACCCAATGCCCTGGTATGTTACTTCTATATGAGATAAGAACTGGTAAACTGCAATTTCGGAACTATTATCGCTGTAAAACATACGTTGCACGGACGGATGATGTGAACAGTTTTTTACTAATTTTGTACATTTTGTACACTTTTTTACTAATACGAACAAAAATGCGCATAAAAGATCTCCTGTAAGCTGTTCTTCTGCGATATTCTCTAATACTAATGCTATTAGTCACAGTCATTTGAAAATCGATATTTGTACACTTAAGAACGTAAATGTGAGAAGTCCAATTAAGAACATAAATGGGCTTGCATTGTCTACAAACTACTCCGTATTCATATGAAGTTCTACGAATTTAATAAGTTTCCATGCAAAAATGTTCATAGGGTTTTGTAAATTTATTAAAAAAAATACTGTAATACGCACGAACATAAAGAAAGAAATCTGTGGCATAATTCACTTTTTTAACTTAGAAATGGCAACAATCAGTGTTGCCATCCTCATGATAGAAAATTATGACGTTTTGGAGCCAAAATTGTCTCTGAGTGCTGGAGTTTAATCAACACCACGTTCATAGATCGACTTAGATGGTATTTTAATTCCCGATCTACCCACCAAAATCACAGCGCCAAAAGATGAAAAAATACGTTTTTAGAATTTTCTTAAAACATGGTTGGATCCGAAAATAAATTATCAGTTCCCCACAAGGAGATCGAGACGTGTTCAATGACACCTCATATGTCTCGAATGGTGTACGGGAAGTAGTCCGACCCACAATGGAAAGAGGTGGGTGAGCTATTGCGTATCCTATCCGACTTCAGCCAATGCGCTTCAGGCACCAGTTTGCGTGGCAATATTAGCGGGAGTTTTAAATGCAGCCAGATACCAAAATAAATATCTTTGTTACAAGTCATTGATGTAGATATATGAAGCATTTCTTTTAAATATTGCGTTTCCATCGCGATTTTTTTGGTTGGTTTCCAATAAAAATTGTCACTTTACGCCACTTTCAATATGTTTCTCGACGCTTCTCGCTCTCCATTTGTCATGGCGGCAAGCATCTTTTCGTGACGCAAAATGGTGCTGAGCAGAAGGGCAAAAGTCGGTAAGCTGGTTAGCTCATTCCTCTCTTTCAACCATGGTCTGGCCATGAGTGATGGATTCACGGACGAACGAATGGACACTCGCAGTTACTCAAATGTTACATAGGAATTGTTTTTATATTAAAAAATTTCGAGGGTTGCCAGTTGGTTTGGAAAACCTGTTATCCAAAGTGTCAGCGTAAAGGGAGTAAAATAAGGAATTGATCAATTAAATGATTCTAAACAGCTGCATATGTGCTTTTGTGGTAACTGATTGATGTAGTGCCAGCTGATGAGAGGTCTCGTATTATCCTCTTTTGAAAACACACTTTCTTCTCTTAAACAATGGTAACTTACGGATGGTTTGGGCATAGGAAGCTCAAAAGGCTTGTTCAGATAACAGTTGATGTTTGCTACCACGCTTGCGTATTTGTCGAGCATTCCTTGCATAGTGTCAGTGCCACCCGCAATGGGTGTAAAATCATTATCTTTGCTCATTTCTAATGAGTAGTACACCTGAAGGAGGAAATAATATCGAAATTAATAACCTTTGGGCTAGTAATTTTCTTGAAAGGAAACATATTCTTATTATTATTATTGACAATTTTAAGTTAAGATATATAAATTGTTGATTTAATTTTTAAAACATATTCTTAACCTAGAATGTTACTTACCGGTAAATCTACATCCAGATCTATTAGTGGGCTGAATTCCCCTTCAAAATTTCCTTCATCATCGACAAGGACATCTGATTCATAACAGCCAGATGCGTATAAGGCTTTGCCTTTGAGAATAAACTGAAAGTTAAAATATGACACGTTATTACATTAAATGTGCTAATGTTAAATCTATCAACAATTATCGCCTGGTCAAACTCTGTGAGGAATTTTCATTCCGGCTGTGCAAATCATCCCTCTCATACGTTACGATAAACAATAAAATAGCTATTTTCGTATTAAGAACGCGAATTTATTGTTTTACATAATATTTACCATAAAAGACAAAACCTCTAATAATAAGTATTGAAGAAAGTATAGCCCAAGCATTGTGGTCACAAGGAATTTGATACAGAAAAGTACGATTTCGATACAGATACACCACAGAAGGTACAAAATATAGCCAACTCTGCGGTATCTAATTTAGTACTTGAAAAATCAAAAGGTAAATCCCAAAAGACATACCGACACATCGTCACTACGACTGGGAGGTCTTCGCTGCAGCAAAGCGATGACCCTATATGCGCTTGCCGCTGTGAGCGACACAACTGATCGGTCCGCATTTTCGTGAGCAACACTCGCAATTAAAAATCCATCAAATATTTAGGATTAAATCAAATACAACACTTAATTGGAAAAGGCATACTATAAACCTACAAGACAGCGGTCCAATACCACACCAATTCAACTCTCAAACACAAATTCTAAGCTAACAATACCCAACGCAATAACACTCTACAAAATCGCAATTAGATTCTTAATGTTTTTTGGGGGGACCGATTTAGATATAAACTGATCCAATACGACATAAATAAAATAAAGCGAAGCCTCACATCGCGCTCGTCCGCTTCGTTGTTGACGGCGCAGCAGCGTGGGTCTTTGGGCTCCTCTGGTTCCGCCGGCGGCTCTGCGCCGCCCATGGCGGCAGCGCACGCACCGCGCAGAGCGCATGCCAGGCAGAGCAACACACAAGCCAGCGGGGATGTCATGGCGACGGGACAGGGCCCACGCCGCCACCCGTGCATTTATACACGGCAAACTCTGCGGACTTTAGGACGGGACGTATTGTGCAGGAAACATTGTGCGATGGTTAACTCGGCGGCAAACGGAACGTTCCCAGGCGATTTGGGCGATACTTTTGTAATGCGATGTTATAGCAGCGGAAATGTGATATCTTACACGCTGGATGTGAATACGAGCCTTTGGAAATGCAGCCATTGTTATGCTTCGTGTTTGGGTTGCTATAAAATCAGGGCAATTAATTATATTATCATT